AAGTGCCGGCAATGACGACGGTAGTGTCGGAAATAATGGTAACGGCGGCAACAGCACTAGCAACGGGAACAACGGTAAGAATGGTAACGCCGGTAGCAAGGAAAACAATAATAACAGCAACGAAGGAAGTGCGGGGAACGCTTTGAACACGACCAACACGGACACAGGCGTGATTGTCGGTACTACAGCGCCTGTTATGGTCAACGTCTCTTACACTCTGTGGGTCGGCAGCGATGTGAAGGAGATGTACAATTTGACGGTGACAGCGCCGAGAAACGAAACGTTTTACGAAGTAATGCTTCTCGCCGCGGATATGTCGCCGCATTTTCAGTTTGTCGCAACCGAATGGCCGAATGGACATTACGTCCACACGATAGCTAGCTACATGGAGCAGCCAGTGTCCTACCACTACTGGCTGCTGTACCGGCTCCCATCTCCTCCGGATCCTGCTACGCCGCCGGGCAATCAACTGGTTGCCCCTGGAGGTACGTTCGTTAAGGCGTGAGTTTTATTTCTTTAACACTAGAACTACCGAGGATTCAACACGATTGATATGTAATCCCTATAAAAATTCTAACGATAGATTATTTTCGGTTTGTTCAGACATTCGTTATCAGTGGCGACTCGTAGCTAAAATCAGTGGGGGTGCTGCTCCAGAAAATGTTTAGCCTTCGTTTTAAAATGTTTGTATCCTTTTCATAAACCGGGGGATGGCTACTGACATTAAGCTTAAGGGTTATATATTGTACAAGTGTAAAGAAATAATTCAAGAGAAAAGGACTCATTATATTAAATGTTATCGATAATATCAAGTGGAAATCGAGGGTGCTGCAGTTCCACAGTGCCTATACGCGAGCCACCACTGTTCATTATAGTATTCAAGTGAACCTGTTTATTCTCAAGATCATTTCGAATATTCAACGCTTTTAAGATATCAATAATTGCCAGACGAAACAATCGAAATCAGTCATTTTGACTGGTACGGTAGTTCTAGTGTTAACACGTTGAATGTCATAGGGGTCACCGGTGACCCTCAGTTAAATCGAATTACTGCTGAAGCTATCGATGTACTGTACTGATTTTAATCATTTTAAAATGTGTTGTTGGGGACATGACTTCGAGCAACGTTTTCCTGTATATGTTGCTCACGGAAAAAACTTTTGCTACTAAACAGTGAATTCTATATTCATCAGTGCGTCCGCGAGAGAGCTCAAGTATAACCGCACGCTCGTCGCTTCGGCGGCGGCTTACATCAATCAGCCCTCGACCTTCTCAGGTTACGTGTACTCTTCCCGACAAGTTGTATTAACACGTTGAATGCCGTGGGAGGCACCGATGACCCCCGACCAAATCAAATTACTGTAATTCACTTAATTAAACGATGAATACTTGAAAACATTTGTACATTATAAATAATACTACTTAATGCGGTTGTATTCAGCTAGATAAACATGCAATGGTAATAGCGTGATTCAATCAAACGATTTAACATTATATTTTTTCCATTTTGAGTATTTTGCTCTGTGAAATCGAACAGCATTCAACGTGTTAATATTGAAATCAATTTTGGACAATTATACGGTAAATGCCCCTCCCTTTGCACCTAAACAAAACTAGCCACACCTATGTTGATGTTCGAGAGAAAATCTATATGTACTAGACAAGATATGATATTATTGCGATTCAGTCGAAACTTCTGTAAAGGAGCATACTTAAAGTATCGTTGAAAATATGGATTCTGTGGCATTTATTTTGTAGAAAAAGGTATGAAGGTCTTGTGGTTGTGAGTTTTGCACATATTTTTAGTATGCTTTCATTAACTCCATCACATCTGATTTTTCTATAAAATTCTATTTATTTATCTAACAACGTAAGGCTGTCATTGAATGCACTACACCTAAGGATCTCACGTTCGCCAAGCCGGCCAGTCGCTCAAAAGTGAAGAGAGGCAAGGGAACTCGGCCGTACGCCCCACCTCAGTTCGCGGACCGGCCAGTAACAAAGACGCGCCGAAACTAAGTCCGCCATTTCTATCGGGCTGAGCGCCGCGAGTGGTTGTCTCCCCTTGCCCCTCTTCACTTGTGAGCTGCAGGCCGGCTTGGTTAACGTAAGATTCCTACAGTAATGACATTATTTCGAATAAAGTGGCGGCAGTGTTTTATTGATAAAAGTAAAATATACTATATGTCTAATAGAAATAAAATATACTATTTTTCTGATAGAAATAAAATTTACTATTTTTCTGATAGAAATAAAATGTACTATTTGTTTGATAGAATAGCCTCGAAGCAAAGGTGTGTAGCAGGTTGCCTGTTACAGTTTTAATATTCTACTAGACATTGAAGCAGTAAAACAGTGCACTTACATTATAATGAGCGTCAGCTCTGAAGGAGTTAAGTTTCGTGCATTTTTTTAATTTAAAAAATTCAGGTGAAAATAAAATTTGTAAAGCTCATAGATCAAAACGATACTCATTTGACAGTTGACGTAATATCTGACCTTGATAACATCTAAAATGAAAAATCCTCGTTGAAGTCTTGTTGTCCACCATTATTCTGAGCTACTCATATATAATTTAGTTTCTCCTGCTGAAGGTTTAAAATATTTTAAAGAATCGTTATCCGTAAATGGTTTACGATAACGAGAAACAAAAAAGGACTGTTCCTTTTGATTAGGGGAAGATCAATGAAAACCGAGAAAACTTATGTGAAATGCGAATCAAATATGATGATGTATAATTGGACTACAACTGGGTATGATTTTGAAGACATCTATTCAATTCTTTATTGCAAGATGGTGAATGAGGTTAAGTAACTAATGAACCTCAGCTTTTGTACACACAAATGTAAATGTTCTATAGCGTTGTAATTCCAAAATTACAAAAAAGGTATTAAGCCTATCAATTCGAGATTTTAACTATGTTAAGTAGGTGTTCCTTCATCGTTCCACCTACAGACACGATAATAACACGTACACGTATACGTATACATTTTTCTTTAATTGACAAATGCTCAGAAAATTTGTTTAGTAGAATCGAAAATTTGACTTTGAACAACCATCATTTTATGAAACATGACATTTATTAGTTGATTGTAGGTCAGTTGGTATTTACATGTATATGGTCTATGAGAACTTTTCATTTTAGATGTTATCAATATCAGATGCCATGTCAATTGTCAGATGAATAGTATTTTGATTTATGAGCTGTGGAATCTGTATTTATGAAGAAATCCAACTGTCAAAATTTATGAAGCTTAATGAAAGTATAGTAAAAACATATACAGTATTGTACCTAATACATATTCATACTTTAACAAAAAAAATGCTAAAGAATCAAAATTTTTCATCGGAAAAAGTAAGACTCCGCCTTAAGCAATTTATTCACTTTAACATTCAAAGATTTCAATTTCATTAATTTGTAACTACTGACAGTACAAAAGCGTTAAATATCTAAAGTCATTTAAGAAATTAATAATTTCACTTACATAATGCAATGTGAGTGAAATTATATAAATGTCACCAACAATGAAAAAAAAGTACTATAATTTTTATAGGAGTTACACGTCAATCATATTAAATACTTGAAAGTTCTACTATTGAAGTTTGTTTATTTCCTGCATGCAAAGCATAAATAATAGCGATCTGTTAACACTTTACGTACCGAAAACCTATTAATAGACTTCTCAATTATCATATTATATCAAAAAGAAATTTCATAAGTTTTTTCTATGTAATTTCTATGTTATATTCCAAATACAAACAATTAAGAGCCAATCGAGTGCCTTGACTATCAAATTTTAAAAAATTCAGAAACTGGAGTTGACAGATTTGGCTAATGAGCGACACAAATATGTCTCTAAAAATTTAAATTCGTGTAAAAATCACACTCTACTCATTATCTTTAGTTAGTTTCAAGTTGAAAATTCTTAAATGACGTGTAAACATTACGTTTAACTGCAAACCAACAATAGACGACAGTTGTCATTCACGCAATCATCAATTCCTTAAAAGTTGAACGCTTGATTATTCTCGACTATTAATCCTTAAAAGACCATTATATAATCACCGATATGTACATACAGTATTAACGTCGGCGCAATCCTCAACACTTAGCCAATCGAATGGACAAATCTCCTACTTTCCTCTTTGTAACGCATTGCGCTTTATTTCGTTCATTTCTTCTTTTGTCATTTAATAAGTCTTGAATTGGGGTTGTTAGCAATTCATCAAAGACCTTTCTTGCTGTTATAGAACAAAGTTTTTAATCGAATCAGTTAAATGAAATTAAAGTTAGTGAGAAACGTTATAGTCATAGTCTTTTTTAAGCGGTTGCCTAAGTGTTAATCCTTTGCACTCGAAAGGTGGCTCTCAGATGTAATATAGCGGCAGGCGGATGCAGGGTCAAAGTAACCCATAACAAATGTTTATTATTTGCATATATACATATGTGTATGTATATATAATATTTATTACAATTAAGAACAAATAGTACATTAGTACATATACAAGTAGTTGTATGTATCGTATGATCATGATATATACATTTTGTACATACTTCGCATTTTATACTGTATACAATTGGGTTAAAATCGCCCTGCATCCGCAGCTTAAGCTTTGTATAATACATCAATACCTGAAATATAAAAATAAAATAGATTCGTTTCTTAATTCATGCACGTTACCACATTGGTTAGTTTCAAAGAAAGTTCTCTAACTGATGGGCATCTGAATATTTTAAATGAAAAACACGAGTGCAAAGGGTTGACTGTCGAGCACCGAGGTTGCCGCAGCAAATCCACTAAAAGAACCAACTTTCAGGCGTCGACGATCTGCAAATCAGCGAGGGTGAACACTATCTCTTCTGGTATAAGAGGCTATAAGAAGCAACGAAGCATCGACGCGCGACGTAAGAAACAGTTTCGAAATATAGAAGAAAACAGAAACAAGCGAATCGCGCGAGCGAAACCGAACAAACGAAGAGAACAAAGAATAGAAATTCCTAGTCGCTCGAAAACGAAAGCTCGCTCTACTCACTGCCATCGCCAAGCGTGCACGGGAACGCGTGCACCACGTTTTCCAGGAATAGTTCCGTACGGAGCCCTCGTACGCCAACTTGTTCGGAAGATGCCGAAGACGTAGAGCTGGCAGTGACAGTTCTGAAACTCTGCTCCGATAGGGTCACCGATTCGCCGGGATCGGTTAAACGCTAAACATTTCGACTTACATGGTGTGCCCGAAACGTTCGGTGATTGGTGTTAGACGACAAACGAAACAGAAGACGTAAACGAACAACCTTTACTGTCCACCAAAATAATCTCTACCCAACAGGACACCCTATGGCAACGCGTGTAAAAACTCCCGCAAACTGTCAGCAGAGGGCTTTCTAGGAATCAATCGCAGAATCGCTGTCGCAATGTCCCCGAAACGTGTCCTTTAATCAGTTCACTGTGGAATTCAGTTTCAAACAATCCTTCGTGGGTTGTGTAATAAATCAACCAGTGACGAGTATACGCGTCGAACGCAGGGCAGATGCTCCTACATACATTGGAATGAAAAGCTGAAGAGAAATGAACAAAAATTACATGTTCATTCGAGGAAATAAGTATTTGATTGTTGAAGAAGTTACTGTTATTTTGGGTTTCAAGATGGCGTGCGTACTCGTCAAACACAGTCGACTGGTTAATGGCATTTTTCAGGAGAGGAAATAGGAATGTCCTGCAGGAGCTAGGTCAGAGAAATATGATGGATAATTTTCATGAAAGATGCACTGCTTGTAGACCCGTAGGCCATTTGGGAAAGTGTTCTTTCTGTTTGCACGTCTGAGAAGAGTCGTGAAAAGGCACGTTTTGGGTATGTGTTAGCTGTTCAAGAAGGCGTGATAGAATTCCGTGATCGATTTCTAAAAAGGTTTTTGATGACAGTCTCTAGGAGCTTTATACAGGTTGCCAAAAGTGTGCTGAGTTGGATGAGGATTACTCTAAAAGGACAGTAAAGGTAATTTGTTTATATGCTCTGTTTTGGTTGTTTTCTGACAGCATTCGTCGGATTTTTAGGACGCACCCTGTATAATGAAAGAGGAACTGACGCGCATGTTGATGGGACGACGGAATAAACGCCATGCGTATCGTATCCTATCGTATCGTATCGTACCGTATCGTACCGTATCGTAACGTATCGTAACTTAAGCTAAATGCATAACATTTTCTATGAAACTGCAATGCACAACCACGTTGTACCTATTTAATGATATGGCGATATCGTATCGACGAACAACGTATCAATTGATATTTAATAAATCCCGCATCTATACGTATTAGCAACTTAACCCGCTCCTTAATCTCTTGCTGCGTGTATTGCTTTACAACGATCGATTACTTGCGCTAACGAGCAATAACGAATTCCTCCAAGGACATATATGTTTCGATTCAACGTTTTACCATGAGTTGCCTAACGTCGCAATGTGTACGGTCCTTTTTTTTGTCACTTTAAACTAATAAAGTATGAAATTATCAAATTGCGTTTGGTGTAATTTCCCTTTGGGCGTCGACGTTTGTTCTTGGACAAGGGGAAGTTGGGTTTTAGGGATCATTGATCGATGGATCCAAGTTATTCTAAGTCCTTAAATGTTCATGTCGTGTATACTCGTCGTGAAGAGATGACAATTTTTTCGTTTTATGTCGAGTATACACGTCGCGAAGGGATAGCAGCTTTTTCTTTTATGACGAGTATACTCGTCATAAAAAAATTACAATTATTCGTTTTACCCGGCGACGATTATACCCGTCTTGAGGGAATGGCAATTTATTTTATGTCGGCTATACTCTTTATTGAGAAGAAAAATTTGCTTCCGTTATTTAAAGTAAAATTTAAGCAAAACAAGAAAGATATTCGTCATTTTGAAATAACCACAACTAAACATTAGTAAATAAAATGCAACGGTTAAGTTAATAAATAACATATTAATGAATCAACTATTTCAATCGGTAATTTTTCCGATCAGAATATTATTCTACTTTACAAAAATAAATTAAATTTTTGATATTTCTCTTCCAGATATTTCATTATTTAATATTAAAATATTTATAATTCGAAATATTGATTGTTTATTCGTTTATGAATTAATCGTACTGTAAATTCTATAAATAATGTTAATGAATCTTTAACCGGGAAAGACACAAATTTTCTGAAAAATCCAATAAAAAGATTTGCTATTTTGTTATACATACTACACTTTTATTTTATAGCCAGTAAACTCATTCTATTCTTGACGAGTATACTCGTCATCGCTTAAAAATAAGTAGGCACATAGGTATACGTTTTTAAAAATAGGTGAAACACTTAAAGGGTTAACAACAAAAGTGGGAAGCGCATTATACGTAGACTACAACGAATTTTCTCTTTGCTTCGTGTTAGTCGATGCCTTTATTCCATGAAATATATCGGTTCTCGCACAATCGTGCGAAATCTATATGCACAGTGACACATATATTTGTTCATATAATCTTTACATAACAATTATACCTACTAAGTGATTATATATATATATTTCTTTGTCTTCGTTACTCTCTCATTTTCTATCCTTCTGTGATATATTTTTGTTAACTCTTAACTACTGAGGTAAATAAGAGTTACAATGCAATATGCACTTTAATCATGCAATAACAGCATTGTTTTGGTAAAATGAAAAAAAGTATTATTTGTGATTTTCCCTAGCCCTCTATAAATCTGTGTGACTCTGAAGTTACATTTCAATATATTGGCATCTTGTTAATTTATTTCATTGTGCATAGTAAAGTACCGAATAAAATTAGGTAATTAATTAACTTAAACTTTTACATGCTCAGAAGTGGAAGTTCAAAATCATTGTAATTAAAAAATTACAAGCTATATTCGTTGTAAAACGATTATTAAAACTATTAAATTCATTGTTAATTTGTATTTATAGGTTGATATTTGTTAATTTTATACTGCATTCGGAAAAATATTCGGCCTATAGTGGAAATGTATCTTCCTTATCAATTAAAACAGAAAAATAAGTTAACAATACTTATTCTAATCAGATTTATTCGTGAATTTCTCTGAGACACATTCCATTGATAAATATCCTTCTTTGGTCCCTGGGACCAACATCGGTAGTTAAGGGTTGATTTTAATTTAAAGTTCGAATTCAACCACATTATTAAATAATGCACCCTTTTGCGAACCGTGAGTCACTGCATGTGCATATGTACTTATGTATCGTATTCTAAGCACACGGTCAATAATAATAATTGGACGATTAAACAGCGAGAATCAACATACTAATTAACCCTCGTATGGCGAATACAGGGTTAATCATCGGAAGTAGCAATAATACGTGCAAAATAAAATATGCGTTAAATTCAAGGGGGTGATCTCATTTTTATTAATGAAAAGTATGGATCCTTTGACATTTTTTGTAACGAAAACTATAAATGTTATTTAGTTAAAACTTTGCATGTGATTTGATTATACTTTTATCAAGTCTCACGAATTCTTTCATTTCAAGTTATTCGAAAATGTAGTTTCTACGGCGCATAGATCGAAATTTTATTCATTTATCAGTTGACATGATTACAAGAAAAGTTATTAATTTGAGATCTGTTTGCTAAAAAAGAGTTCCTTTATTGTCACAGACAAGATAATAATGTGTATACTTATTTTTTAAGTAACAAGAACTCGGAAATTTTTGTTAGTAAAATCGTACATTTCATTTTGAACAGATACCACTTTTCAAGAAATATCTTTTTTATGTTGAGTGTAGGACAAATGATAGCTATGTGTATACGATACAGGGCTTTGAGAAAATCTTTCATTTTAGTTGCTATCAAAGTCAGAAGAAATTCACGAAACTTAATGAAAGTATAGTAAAAACACATGCTAAATTACAGCTAACAGACATTCATAATTTTTTCAATGAAAAACTATCGAAGAGTCCACATTTTTCATCGAGAAAAATGAGATTTCTCCTTAACGTGTAATTCCTGCTTGAAATCTACGTACAAAGGGAACGTATCATGGGTCGAAATGATGCTTCGTTATCCAATAGTTAGTAACATTTCAATAACTTTTGCTGCCTACTTAGGATCGTTGTGGTCAATCGTACAGTAAATACGCACTAGCAGATATCGAAATTTAGAATTATTTTTTGATACTACGCTAGAAATGTTTTTAAGGCATAACTTTTTTTGTGAACCCTATGTATTGAATATAGGATATTCCGAATAAAATGAAAACATCTTTCCGTTTTATTTCTTATTTCTACCTTAACTCGTCTCTAGCAAGCAAGTGGCTATACATCTAAATTATATAGCGTTTCTCTACATCTTTTTCATCGTGAACCAATAAAATACTACGTAATTTTAAATGTACCAATAATTAATCAATTAAGGTTATATAAATATAAATATTTGATATTTAATATTTAATATTTAATATTTAGTATTTAATATTTAGTATTTAATATTTAATATTTAATATTTAATATTTAATATTTAGTATTTAATATTTAATATATAATATTTAATATTTAATATATAATATATAATATTTAATATTTAATATTTAATATTTAATATTTAATATTTAATATTTAATATTTAATATTTAATATTTGTATTATAAGTATAAATATACCGTCCTTATAGTCTCAACTGGTTAATTACACTGTGGAACACGATGTTTGTCTTGTAATAGCCACTAGGTGAATCTTATAGAGTTTCTTACCCTTACCAAAAAGTTAAGTAAGACGGATTTATAAGTAAGATGAAAATTTATAAAACAATTAAAGATTATATATACATATAAGAAGTGACCGGGGTCCAGGTCTATAGTTGTGGCCGGCGAGCGGTGGCCGTGTGGCGCCAAAGTTCCGTGCACACGTTCTTCACGGACATTTTTTTAACGTGTCCTAAAGAAAAACCGTTCTCATACTTCCCGCGGGGGGATTTCTCTTCAGAAATGTCTGCAGAATCCAATGGTGCATAGCAAATTCGTGCTAGCCAAACCACTTTTTGTAGAAATCTAACAGAAGTGTGTACAAAGTTTACGCATCTACCCTTTTTTAAACTTTGATCATCATTTACAAACATTTAATAATACGCAAAATTCAAAATTTGTATAGCTACATATTCGGGCAAGTCTCCTCTATTTTCTACGACAAATTTTAACTGCCTATCGTCTTTAGTTTTCACGTAACACTTGGTTCTCTGAAAAATTCGGCTGTTTTTACAAAAACCCAGTTTTTTCGAAACTGGACGTAACCTAGTGATTATTGTAAGACACAAAAAAAGTTCAAATTTGTTCCACAGTGTTGTTATTGGTATATTTACCTTAATTCACTTATAATAATATATTCCTAAAAACACGCAACATTTAATCATTACTTTTGGAACGTACTTTTCATTCATAACAAAGGGAACTATTAAACGATGTGAAATTAAAGAAAAGACTACAGGTATGTCATTGACTATTGTCTCTATCAATAGTTTAAGAAAAAAAAAGAATTTATAACTATTTATTCTTATAAATGTATTTAATTTTGTTTATATTGTTATAATTATGCAGAGTATTCCATTCTAATTTGTAACTGCATTATCTTCGGAACTATTCGTTATTGAAAAAATGTTTCCAATTCAATTTTTCTGTTTTGATGGTTTTCGGCGTAGAAAGATTAACAACTGTTTGTGGAAAATGATCTGCATCGAATGACGCAGAAAAGATTGAATTTTTATACTCGAAACAATAGTAGTGATCTTCGTATTTCCTATACACGTCCAGTTAGAGACAACTTAAGTGTACCAAATCACTGCCCCTCCAAAAAAGAGAAAATTTGCATTTGAGACATGTTTTATATAACAAACAGTCACCTTGATAATCACATTTATAGATTAAAATAAGACACCCTGTGTATGGTGGTTTTACATCCTTATGGATAGTAGAACATGGCATACAAATTTAGCCAACTATTTATAAACTGCTCACCATCTTAAACTATTTATAAATTTCTCCTTACATAAAAAGTCTTTCAAACTTAAGTCGTATGGTATCAAGGGAACGTATGTTGGAATAATTACATTTTCGTTATTTCGCTTTTTCATCGACACAAGAATATCATTTGAAATTTGCAAATATAACGCGTAATATTTGCAGGAGAAAGAGAATTTTATTTGAAACAGTATAATTATTTTATCACAGCTCACAATAAAACAATCAACAAATCAAACAACGCACACACTATTTATATACTTAGATGTTCTTGCCTCACTCGCACACTTTCTAGAACATTCTTTCATTACCATGCATTAACTTCACGTATATTTGGAATATTCTAGATTCATAGAAAACGAACATTATTAACATAAAAATCAATATAGAGAAAATCAATTTAGTCTAAAATATTCCAATGCTTTGAACATTCAATCGAAACGCGCTCACGCATACAGTCGCGTCATTCATCTATTGCACACACATTCATCACTCATCAATGTATATATTCTCACACTCAAATACATCCATACCCACATATTTGACCACCCTATATACATTTAGTTGGCAAGAATGTTCTGTCGTTTTTCGGTTACTCCATTCGACACGCTTATTCTTTCATTGTTCATTGTATGCTACAGTCGATTTTGGTAGCAACCGAGAACCATTATTGAATTAAAATTTTTAAATTGCTATCGTGTTTTAAGTTTTAAACTTTTAAAAATAAACATTTATTATGAATGAAGATAAAATTCGGTTCCGACACTATGCTTTGATTTTAACTTCCAACTTGAACATAACGCCACGGAAGCCCAAAAATTTGTGCTCTGTTTTTGGACTATCGAAAGTTGAAGTGCGTACGGTCCGAAGATGACTTTTATTTCTGTTTCTAGTCAAAGGATGGGGTTGTCTTTATGACCGGCGTAAATGACGTATTTACTAGACGAATAAAGATTACAGAAAACAATGGCCAATATATCATTAATTAATCTTCTTTCTAAGATCAAATACATAAAACTGAATTTTCCCTAACAAAACAACAAAACTTTCTTGTCAATCTAATATTATCGGCAGACATTTTCCTATAAATCTGTGATAGTTCTTTAACCGTTCGAGTACCAGAGGTTTTTAACAAAACCCGGTTGAAAAAGCCGAACAGTGCAATAGCGCTTTCTGAATGGGATGGGAAAAGATCCAAGCGGCGCGATAGAGCTCCTTTTATTTTATATTGAGAAAAGCCAAGCAGCGCGACAGCGCTTGTCTTAATCTATGTTAACCCTTTGCACTCGGAAATTTCTGAATAGAAATGTTTAACATTTTTAGACGAAGCGAAGACGATATTCTTTGAAACGAATTCGAGGGGAAAACACAAGTATATTAAGGAACAAAGCTATTTTATTCCAATATTTCATGTATTAAGGCGTTATACGAAGTTCAACATTGAATATCATATTTTATAGTTTTACTGTGTCAAATCAAGTGGCGACTGAGAGTCACCTCTCGAGTGCAAAGGGTTAACACGTTCCCTGCCAGACCGTTTTTTGAAGACCTTCCGTTTAGGCCGCTGTGGCCGCTTTACAACTGTATTGTTTCGTTTCTGGAGTATGCCTTACAATGATTAAAATAATGCAAAACTCATAACTGTCAAGAAAAGGGTGTATAGTTTAAGATGCATAACACAACAAAGCAATAAATTTATTTTTTTAGGAATTAGTTTAACAAATATGTGGCTGAACATTACTCTGCCGAGCGAGTCGCATCCTCGGGCATAATATTTTTTTATGATGTCTACATTAGTTTAAAATAAAACATTTTAGTTGAAATATATTTAATATTATATTTATGTCATAAGTTTGTATATAATCAGGAAGGAATATTACGGTGAACTTTGTTAAAACATGGCAATCATAAATCTGGTTTATCCACACAATTATTACAGAATGTTGCAACTTTTACAGTACAGTTTCTTACCGATCGGGAACCGCATTTTTTAACGTTAAAACAAATCGCAGTAAAAAAAGTGACTACCACGATCAAATGAGCGCATCAGCAATAGTGTTAAGATGCCCATAATTGACTGCATAATGAATTTTTAAAAAATTCTTCATTTTACAATGATAATACCATGGCTTGAACGGGAAGTTCAGCGTGGGGCGCATACGCCCCACACGGCAGGGAACATGTTAATACTATTATAAATATATATTAATTTATAATAGGTAACAACGAAATACAAAATGTACTACTCGGATTACTTATATACAAAAAAAGTAGCGATGCGATGTACATGCGTTTGAAAAGTTGAGCGCGTTTCGTCAGATTGTGAGTGCGCCGTCAGTTATCCGTATCGTTAAAATGCGCCGGATTTTTTCGACATGAAATCTGAAGAGCGCGAAAGCGGCGCGTGGGACTGAAACGGTCAACCTATGGTCGATAAACACCGTGCTAGAGTGTTATGATTCGTGTTCCCTTGATAACTGTCAACCGTTCCAACGCACTCGCTCAGCAGCGACAGAAATTTCCTTCTTTTGTCGGTAAGTCTGATTCAGCGACGAAACTACCGCGGCGCTAGCTTCTACCGTACCTAGACGCGGTACGGAGTACTACGATCTGTCCACATCCGATGTCTTACTAGCGACGGATAGATCCCAGTTACCCTCCTCTTGTCTTCACCTTCCGCACACACGATACGGAGAGTATTTCTTACCGTTTTACGGTCCCTTTAACCCTTTGACTGGTACGTCACCCGAATTCGAGTGACATCATTTTTTATATAGACTTAAACATTAATTTTCCAGGTGACGTATCGAACTAACGGAATTTTATTGAATATATAAAATATAAGGAAGATAGAGTAATCGTTATGATGAATCGGTACTTACGTATTATACGGGATACCTTTGTTTTTAAGAAATAAGATAATGATAATAATAATAATAATTGATTATATACAGACACAAGACAATGGCAAAAATAATACACCAATAAATAACACAGAAATACAGCCGGATTACTTCAAATGTAAACCAGGAACAATACTGGAGAATCAAACAGCAAAAATGTACTGGAACAAATCACTATAAGCAAACAGAACAATAGCATACGACAGATCAGAGATATAACATAAATGGACACAGACAAAAATCACATACCCTATAGGAATATCAATCTTCAATGATGTAAACGTAAAAATAAAAGGAGAAGAAAAAATCAATAAATACACCTCACTAGCCATGGAAAGGAAAGAAATATGGAAACAAGAATATATCAAAATAAAACCAATAATCGTAGAAAACATAAAGAAATAAGAATCAACCGAACCATACAGAGCACAATCCAAAAAGCAGCAGTAATAGAAACATGTGCAATAGTTACGAAATTCCTGAATCCCCCGATATGGATGCATTCGTACTTGGTGTACACCTGTACAGGTGTAGTAGAACCGGGTAAAAATCGAGAAAACGAAAAGGAAAAAATAATAATAATAAAATATTAATACTGTGTTATAATATTAAATAAATAGTAAACCAGACCTAACCTAAATGGCCGACCAGCACGCACTTCAGTTAAGAAACAAAGGTGATCCATGCTACTGAATCATCCTGTATATTTTACATTACTCAGTATTAGAGTGCTTCATCAATTGTAAATTGTACGTACATAGTTTCATTCATATACAACGATTAGACTGAGTTTATTTGTCATTTTTTGTTTGTTAATTTAAAAAAATGTTGCTATACGCTGCTTGTGGGTAACTCGGGTATTTCGTAAATCAAAGATATAATTTTAAGTACTTTATGTACATTCATCCGTCCCTCCATTTACGCGACATTTTTTTACGCGGTAAATTATAATACTGTTTACGCGGTACTGTTTACACGATTTACGCTATCTGAAGTACCATTGCGGAAGTTGATAAAAAAATTCAACGAGTCACAGAATTTCAACAAGATTTAAAGAAATGTTGCAAATATCGGTAAATTTATGGAAACTTAGCGAAAGAAAAGTTGGGGAACAAATCATTCGAAGAAATTAATATTTGCAATAGAACTGAAATTGAAGTTCCAAATATTTCAAGCGATGAGGACGATGGGTTTGTGTCGATTAAAAAGAAAAACTTTTGTTTTCTGAAATGTTATTGTTCTTATTTTCTTGTTAAGCTATGTGAAATAAATATGTGTTTCTAATATTTATACCAGCTTTTCTTTTCAATGTTTTGTTTTCTTGTGTATCGTTAGACTCTATTAACGATTTTCATTCGCGTAAGAGGAATCCACGTGGAATGGATCCTCCACGTGAATGGAGGGACGAATGTATTATAAGTCAAGAAAGCTACGACGACCAATGATAAACCCTACGTTCACATTACAACATGACACGATGTTCGATTAACATACCGCCTGGCACAATTGTGGAAAAAAAATTAACCTTAGAGGGCAACTTAGTTTTTTTCATTTATTCGCATAATTTGAATACATTTTGCACAAATTATATGTTTTGAGTGTTTCTTGTAAATTCGTTATCGTCATTCACATTTGAAATTAAATATTTAATTTTATATGCAAGGCCATGTCATTCATATATGAATGACGTGGTATTCGTTGGATCGTATGCATAAAGAGAAGTATTAGCTCTTACTAGGGATTTTGTAAGTAAATACATGGTTCTATGTGTATAAAGAGTGAAGTATTTTCTGAATTTTCCAGCACATAAAATTCGTATGAGTAACATTTAGTATTTACCAAAAACATTAGTAAATGCTATTGTAACTTCAAGTATGCCACTTGCTTGCTTGCTCAGATTTTTCAGCATTTACTGTCGAGTACTAATAAATAATTATACATAAGAGATTTAGCAATTGCTTTTACTTATACTTAACCCTTTGCACTCCTATGTCGAATGTGACTCCACGTTAGATTTATTCAAACGTGTGCATACTGTCGAGAAATTTGAAATTACAAGTACAATGTGTTTATTACAAGTAATTGATTACAAATAGTGTTAAATTCAAAATATAAATAAAATCATAAACATAATGTTGTTGGAATCTGAACGTTCAAATTTTACGTGTTATCGCTGGTATTAGCGTTATCCGATGTACACCGCGAGAATGTTGCTCAGATGTCATACATAAAAATGGCTCCCATAGACAGCTGATACATAAAAAATGTGTATGAATACGATGTATTATGTTAACATTAGATTTACTGTGCCGTTTGTTTTATCGTTCTCAGAAAACTTGATATTCGTCCATTTAAATTTTGAAAAATAGAGATTTAAAAGTAGACAATTAGAATACATATTTGCGTAATTACGTCAATCGAAATGGACCCAAATATTTACCAAATAAAGTTCATAAAACTCAATAAGAGTCAAATTGGCTCGTTCCGTAAATGTAATGTTAAACTATAATTATATTAAGTGACGTATTAAATATATGTGCACATAATATACGATCTATACGTAAAATTTGAACTTTATGTTTCGGGAACGCGTCGACGTCGTCTATAAGAATATGTAGTCAAAAATATAAGGTTTCACTTAAAGATTTTAACGTGACATTTTCAGGCCGGTCTAAGGTCATCTTAAGATCACACAAATAAGAACATGATATATAGCATTTAATACACTGCAGCTTTTGTTTGAGACATTTCCTTATATTATACATATTTTTCGAGAAAATTAGATCTTCTCAGTTTGCTGAAACATACTGTAGATGTAAACATAATATTAGGAAAGATGTTTGTGGAATGCTGCTGCTGATGATGATGATAATAATAATAATAGGGAGAGGAAGAAGAAGAAAGAGAAAACGAAAGAAAATAGCATTGTTTATGATTATATGTAGGGTTGACCAAAGCAAAGCAGATCACAAGGTGAATCAGGTCACTTTCGATATGTCATATCGAAGATCATATTTCTCACTTTTCGTTTTTACTCTCCAAAAGAAAGATTTAACAATTTAACAATTTATTATTATTTAACTTATTATCAATGTTCAAGTATTTTCATTTCACTATTGTCAAACAGAAAATCCTATTGCAGTGTGGTGCATGTAACAGTGAGCTTCCATTATCCGAACGAACTTGTCCCTCGACCTGTTCAGATAAGTGAGGTTCTACTATAATACCTCTTTTTATTAATACGTACTAATACATTAACATACCTATCCTGTACTCGTGCTATTGGGTGATCACTTGATGGCTAAGCTGAGGAATTCGACTGATTCATCAGTTTTCATTCTCTTACCTCAGCCAATTTTCTCTTAGTTTTATTTCTTAATTTCTAATAATTTCGATCGATAATTTACCATACGCCAATACGGTTACACGTGACCAATTAAACCAATAAAATCGTAAACCAGAAGAACACCTTTTGCTCCTGTGCCGTTCTGCTAGACATCAAAGTATCTCCCTACAGTGCTGCTAAGAGATCACTTGATGGCTATGCTGAGGAATGTACCTTTGAGTGGTCAGTTATCATTTCTCTTACAACGCCAATCTGTTGTTCGTCAATACGGTTACACGTAACCAATGAAGACTATAAAACTGTAAAGTGGAGAGATACCTTCTGTCCCTGTGTCCCTCCAGTGTACATCAAATCGTCTCCCTACAGTACTGTTAGGGGATCACTGAGGAATTTCGGTGATCGATCAGTTTTCATTTTTCTCACCCAAACTCCTGTTAGTTTTATCTCCTAATTCGTAATATTTCCGACGGCACTTGATATAGTCATAAAATAAAATAAAATAATCTAGAAGTATAAATACTTTTAGAAGTCACTATAGAAAAAATCGATTAATATAAACTCTAGTTGGGACGTCACTTGATGGCTACGCTGATTAGTCTGATTAGGTCAGTTTTTATCTGTCCTTCGCTTATATTCAATGATAATTTACTATTCGTTAGTACGATTACATGTAACCAATTAAAACTACAAAACTGTAAACTAGAAAGACACTTTTTGTCTTTGTACCGTTCTGCTAGGCATCAAGAGATCTCCCTACGGTGCTATTAGGAGATCACTTGAAGGCTGGGCTGATTGATCAGTTTTCATTTATTCTTACACAATTTTCTATTAGTCATATTTCCCAATTCTTGATATTGTTTACCACTAATTTACTATTCGTCGACGCGGTTAGGCGTAACCGATCAAAACTATAAAACTGTAAACTGGAAAGACACCTTTTGCCCCTGTGTCGTCCGCTAGACATCAAGTCATCACCCAGCGGTGCGCGCGTGCATTTTTCCAGAGTCACCCCTCGCTCTCACTATGCACGCGCTCCGACGGAGTCCCTCCGATTCCTCCGATCCTCGATGCTTCACCCTCCCTCCCTCGCCCCGTATCGGTTGGTCGGTATATCGTTGCAATTATGCGGATATGGAAAGCGCGGATTCGTCAGCGCGTGCGAAACGATCGATGCTTGTGTGTCGGGGAGAAAAAAAAGGGAAAACTTGCGAAAAAGATGAGCGAAACGGTGAACGGTGGGAAAGGAAAGCGAAAACGGGGTGCGCGCGGTACCGATGGGCAAGGCTGCGGGCGGGGGAGGAGGAGGGGGGAGGGGCACGATGTATTTACACTGACATTTCCCGGGATATTGCTGCTGACGAGCGTTCCCGTAGAAAAACTAGTAATTGCCTGGTGCGTTGTAGGTCGATCTTTAAATTTCTGAATCGCCGCGGGCGAAGTTGCGACGTCAAGTTGACTCGCCGTGTTTACTAAATGTACGGGGTGTCCGAATGACCCGGCAATCTGATACCAGGTGATACCTCGCGAAAAGATGTGGAACGGAATTGTATTGTTTGGTGCTTCATTTTTGGGAAAATCGAATTTGAGAATTCACTGTGTACCTACTATTCGCCTCTCACGTTTGTTCCATCGGCCTTAGACTTAAAAGTGCACATGAGCAAGAGAACTGTTTCATTCACGACGCTCGAATCTCGGCGCGAGCCAGTAACGACTATGCGTTGAACACGAAAGTCGAGTCATGGTCATTATTGGCGCGCGTCGAGGTCCAAGCGTCGTGAGTGAAAGAGTCCCTTGGCTCCATTTCATTTGTGAATATTTGGTGAAATTAAAATAGAGCGGTTACTTTTTTTCTACGTTAAGGCTGAAATGTAGAGCAAGAGAAAAATACGCAGAAAGCATGATAAATAAGTTTTGACCCTGAGAAAAATGGATTGTGTCGTTCCAAGAGATTCGAGATTGATGCCTGCAAACGAAGGCATTTTCAACAGCCGTCGACGTTTGTGCAATTCTAACGACAAACAAATGAAACTGAATAATATAGGAAGAAGAGAAACACTTCTTGAACTATTTTTATCGTTTCCACTGCTTGTCATACAATGACGAGTGAAAGTCGCGATGAAGATTCCTAGATTAATTTAATAAAAATCAGTGCTGTTCATTTTTTACTGGCTAAAGCGGAAAACTAGTTTGTTGTTATTAATTATTATCAATCTTTAAAGTGAGTTTGCACTTACAATGAAATCTTTTTTGCGAAAGTAAATAATACCTCAAGGGGTTAATGTGGCATATAGGGTAGACCGA